CAGGACGAAGGAATGGATCACACGAATCCCGTGCTCCGTCAGGATCTTAAGCGCACCACATGTACTGTAGCTGCAGAAAAAGTAGTGTTTCTCGGACAAGAGAGCCTGACAGATCCTTGTACTCTCCAGGCAGGTTTGAATTCAGAGTGTCCTTCTCCTAGATTCTAGTCTGCCTGCATTTTACTTAGAGCTGGGGGTGCGGAGAAGTGGATCCATAACTTTTCAAAATTTTCTTCTTCTTTTATAATGGTTTCAAGTGGAATTCGAAGTCGACTCTCCGATTCCTCAGTTCAAGGCGCTATGCTTTACTCCATCGTGCCTCTGTTGCCAAGGAATATAAAGCCACAAAAATCTGAAATCAATCTCTAAAATCTGAAATCAGTCTCTGAAATCTTGCTTCTACTGCCAAGGAATGTAAAGTCACAAAATCTGAAATCAGGCTCAACAATATATCACACTGTTGAAACCCATTTCATTCGACTATATTATTATTCTTTGGAGTATGGCGTATTTAATATCGTCATATCTGGTATCGTATATTGATATGATGGGGACCATCAAGGAATCATGTTCGCATTGCTATTATTAAATTTGTTTCTGATCACTAACTTCACCTGTTCATTTCCTACTCACAGACACAAGTAACTATTTTTATATACTCGCATAAAAATAAATATAATAGGAAAACAAATTGCTAGAAGATTCGAAGACAAGTAAATTTACACACGTCGAGGCATTTTTAATGTAATAATGAAAGTATCTAATAAATATTTCTTCTGTAATCGAAACAGAGATAAGCATTAAAGAGAGTAAAATCAACTGTTACAAACCTGTCTACGCACGAAATCTGTTGTTGGATACTAGATTGAGTTAATTCACGCAGTCTTTGAAGTCTTTGTAATATTTCTAACTCCGCGAGCTAAGAGACAATAAAGAATTCTGAAATAATTCTACGGAATATTTCGAATAGTTGATGAGACCAGTATCTGAAAACAGTTGCATCTAAAAATAAATTTAGTTTAAAGCGTCATGGATAGACATCTTGCAATATATATATATATATATATATATATATATATATATATATAAATATATATACTTTAGACAACTGAAGTAGTAAAAAATGTGTTTGTCATAAACGGTTCCCTGTGATGTGTGACTATTAAAGAAGTCGATTATTATTATTATTATTATTATTATTATTATTATTATTATTATTATCTATGTACCGTGTCCCATCAGGATGTTGACGATCTTGAGCCTCCATAGTTTCTTCTCCTTTGTATCCTATAATATATTTTAGCTTTTTTTATTTCTTTTCAACTCAGTTAAACCATCCATTTATTTACACTTACTAAAAGTGTTATGTTTTGTTTTCCACTTTTGCTTTCAGTCTGTCTTGCGAGTATCACATTTTCCAAGTCCTCTTTCCTCATTATATAGCCTATAAATTTCTTGATGCTATGAATGAGTTTCTTTTTTCATTTCAGTTCTCTAAAACTTCGCCGTTGCTGATATATTCAGTCGACGGTATCACCAGCATTTTTCTGCAGAACAAGATTTCTGTTACTTCAATTGTCAGCTTCATTTTGAGGGGATTGTCTCGCTTTCACCGTCATACAGAAGAACAGATATGACATAACAGTTCATTACACTTTTCTAACGAAGTTTTCTGTTTCCCAATACTCTGCTTAGCTTTTGGAACGCATCTTTGGCAATCACGTCGGCAAACGAATTTGCTAAGAACTTTAAAAAGTATATATGTCACAAAACGGCCAGGAGAAATCTAATATTCGTTAGGAGCCAAATAGTTAGATTGATGTTGTCTGTGACCCTGGGTTTCGCACTATTTGCGATCGTCAAAGAAACTGACGATCGCAAATAACGTGAAATCCAAGGTCACAAACTAACATCAATCCAACTAAATATGTTAGGTCTATCACTGATATTTAGTGTTTTCCAATAAGTTCCGTGCATATAATATATACATATAATATATAAAAAATTTCACAGACATTTATATATATATATATGTGTGTGTGTGTTCTATGTGTGTATATATATATATATATATATATATATATATATATATATATATATATATATATATATATATATGTGTGTGTGTGTATATATATGTGAGTGTGTGTGTATATATATATATGTGTGTGTGAGTGTGTGTGTATATATATATATATGTGTGTGTGTATATATATATGTGTGTGTGTGTATATATATATGTGATGTGTGTGTATATATATATATATATGTGTGTGTGTATATATATATATATATATATATATATATATATATATATATAAGATATACACTTACATACTGAAATATAAGTATATAAAATAATTTTGTGTTCCGTAGTGAAGTCTGTGTAGTTATTCAATTAATGAATATTTTATAAAATTAACAAGTATAATTTTGGTGAAAGAGCTTACCGTGGAAGTGAATCTGAAATATGAGTACAGTTCGAACATGGAAACTAACTGACGCATCTCCCATGGAATCCATCGAGGCGCATAACGCTACACCTTTCTAGTTTCCTAGCAAGTAAGATTATTTTTTACGAGATAAATGTACTACAGTAGCTGATGTTCCCAAGTCCCTTAGATGACGGAGCCCGTCTGCTATTTTTTCCTTTTTTGATTATATATATATATATATATATATATATATATATACACGATGGAAGGTAATAAATTATCAGAAATCTTTTTCATTATTTATTCATACGGAAGCAGGTGTTAAATAAATACGTCATTTTTCTCTATGAAATGATGTATATTCCTCCTTGATGCACTTGGTTCAAGGCCCGCATGTTTTTGCATTTATTCCAACCGACCTCTAAATCATCTTTGAGAGCAGGCAGGGATTTCCCATCACGTCAGAATCAAAATTGGTTAATGATTTTAACGGTCTGACTGGCCGTGTGTGGGTTATGCAACAACAAAACTTGCTTTGAAAAGTCGGTTGTAAATTGCTGGCTGGATACAGATTGTTACTCAGCAAAACACTGTATCTTGCATTGTTGAGTGTTCCAGTAAAGGCTTTTTTGAATAATAAAAAACGGTAAGTGTTGCCTTTTCCACTGCAGATTGAGTTTTGAATAAATTAATCGCTGAGGAGCTCGGATGTTTCTATCCATACATTAGCCATGGGAATCTGGTTCATAGTTATAAACCCACATTTCATCTCTTGTGAATTTCTGCTAAAAATATTTGCCTTCTGTGTTGTAGCGGTCAAATAAACGTTGTAAGAACAAACCACGTTTGCGCTTGTTTTATGCGGCAAGCTCTCTTGGCACCTATCTCACAGTTCTATGGAAGGTGAGCACGTCGGGTATGATTCGTGAGGAAGAAATATGGCTCATCTGAAGAGATAATAACTTACCGGTTTGGCATTACCTATTCTCGATCTTACTGAATAGTCTCGTCAGTGGTGATGGTTGACGGACATCCTGGTAATGCTTCGTGCGTCCTTCCTTACATAGAGATTCATGCCAACGCCAAACTCAGAGTTCTGGAGTCAATGTAAGGTTATTATGTACATTTTTAATATATTAAATAGTTCTATTGTTTAACATTGATCACTACTTTTCTTACACTACACTACTATATATATATATTATGAAATGAATAAAGTCCGACTATAATTTTAAGACATTTACTATGCTTATACGCTCGTTTTATACATACAAATATTTAAGTAAGTGCACTGTTTATAATAAAATGAATCAACGACATTTACCGGCCTGAATGTTCGAGAAATTTTCATAGAAAATATGCGTCTTCCAACATTAGGATACGCATCGAGCAGATATGAATGTACGAGAGAAATTCACTGGGAATTGTAGTTTAAAAACAGTAAAATCGAGTTTGCTAAACTAAACACTTCTCTGTGGCTCAATTGGCATAATCACGTATAGCATACAGGTCCGATTCTTGTCGGTAAACGCATATTTTCGATGAAAAGATCTTGGACATTCAGGTCGATAAATATCGTTAATATTGTTTATTATAAACAGAGTATTAACTTAAATATTTGTATCCATAAAAAAGAACGTATAAACATTAAAAAAAGGTCTTAATAATATATATATATATATATATATATATATATATATATATATATATATGTGTGTGTGTGTGTGTGTGTGTGTGTGTGTGTGTGTGTGTATTTTTATACGAACGCTCGCTCGTACATTTGACTATATTTAATTTTTTTGATTATATATATATATATATATATATATATATATATATATATATGTACATACATAGTTCTTACACACACACACACACACATATATATATATATATATATATATATATAGTTCTGATTAACCAATATAAATCGTGTTTACTTCATATTATCTGTGGGTTAATTAATTTATTTATTATTTCTCTGTTTTCCTTTTTATGATAAAATATTCGTTGTAATCTATGAGCAAAGCGATTCGTTTATCTAATGGCGAACCGTTCTTTGAAAGTGAACAGGAAACAGAAATTATCCATTTGATATTCTGATTGTATGTTAATTCCGATGTGCATCAAAGTTGCTTGCTTTCTTCGTCGACAATATCATTTTTTTTTATTTCTTGAAAAAGCTGCCTTAACATTTCACAGACAAATTCTCCTAAAAAATTGGGTTCAGTTTTTATTTGTGTTACAGTTGACAGTGAGACACCGTTTTCTGCATATTTCATACGGTATTTTTTATTAAATAAAAAAAAAGCAATACAATAAAAAGTATAAAAGTGTCAAGGATGCTTCTTCTAACAGGCTGGTTGGTCATATTTGAATGGAGTCGATCCTTTTTTTTTTATTTTCATTTAATGTGGAATTCTGTCGCTTTTGTGCATACCACGATTTATTATGAGGTTTATGTATAAATCACGGCTACTTTTGCGAAATGAAATTCTGAAGTAAGGCGGCAATAATGTGAATGAGTACGAAACAGAATGAGTGAATTTATTGATTCTTTTCGAATCAAAACGATAACGTGGTTAAAAAGAAAAAAAAAAGAAGTATAGATTGAGAGTTGAATATGCTGTCTAAAATAATTAGGATGAGAAAGAGAGAAATGAATAGATAAAGTAAAGGAAGAACCCAGGAAAGGAAAAATGAATACGGTAATAAATGAAACAGTGAGGCAGAAAATTTAAGTGAAATGAAATAAAGTAAGAGAGAAATTAAGAGATGAAGATTATAAGAAAATAAAGCCTGTCAGTAGAAAAAAAGAAATAGTTATTGGGTATGGATAAAGAGAAAAGAAAGACAGAAAGAAATAAAAAAAGGGAAAAAAAACTGGAAAAACTGAAGAGATAGATAGAGAGAGAGGCGGAGGGAAAAAGAGAGATAGAAATAGAGATGGTATGAAAAGGTCTCTGAGTATAGAGATATGCAAGCATAAATAAGTAATAGTAAATAGATATGCATAAACAGAAATAAAAAGAAAGAAATAAAGAACTGTATAAAGAAAATAACTGAAAATAGAAAAATATTGAAATAGGGTTTGAAAGAGATGATACAGAAATAAAGCTTTTGAGTAGATTCATGCAAATTTAAAAAGAAATAATAAATAGATAAGAATAAAAAAAGAAAGAACGTATGAAATAAAGAAAAGTAAAGAAAGAAAAATAAACGAAAGAAAGAAGGAAAACAAGAAAGGATGAACTGAAACTTTAACAATGACAGAAATAGCAAGGTAAAATAAGTAAAATATAAGAGAGTGGGATAGATAGAAGGTGATAAGGAAAACACTGTGTAGAGAAAAACAAATATAAAAAAGTAAATAAATACAAAAAGAAAGAAAGAAAAGAAAAGAAAGAGGTTAGACGGAGATTTATATCGCCAAACGCGATTTTCATTTTAAAATTAAAAGAGAAATTGAGAATGAGAGAGAATTTGGAAGACGAAAAAAAAAATAACTGCAAAACGACGCAAACAAAAACATTTTCCTGTATTCAGGGAGAGAGAAAGAGGGGGAGGGGGAAAGTGGTAAATTCAGGAATGGAAACGTGGCATGGAAAGGAAGGTTCAGTAATTGAGAATGGGTTGGATAAAAAAAAAAGGCGGAAATAATAGGTGTTGACATGCAACACAAATCCAATTTCACGGCGTCACTTTCTTGCGATATTATTGACGCATGGTGCTGTTCACATGTGTGCGGGTTTCGCCGCTGACTGATAAGAATAATCATTTCAGACCTCTTTGCCGATCAACTGGCACGGCTGTCAAAATAAGAACGCAAAGACTATAAGAGTCGAACATCATACAAATAGTATATTCCTTTCAACAAATGATACTTAAACTCTCAATAAAACCAAAAAAAGATTATTTATTTTTGACGTTTTAATGAACAGATACGGGATGATTTCGCTTTTACACCCCAACAAATCCTTCAAACACGAGTAGATAGAAAAAAAACAAATATAGAATATGGGAGCAAAGATGGGGTTGTGATGATGATGATGATCATCATCACACACGCATACACCTTTACAAATTCAAATCTTCAATAGCAATCATTCCTTGGATAAACACTCAAGTGGGCGTCGCAATCCACCCCCGCACAATATTTTTCCAACGCGTGACTAAGTCAATTTTCCCGCCAAAACTGCTGTGATTCCGTCACGTGACTACTATCAATAAAACCAAACACGAGTTTAGCTTTCTTTCTCTTTTCTGCTCTGTTCTTACTTCTTAGCCAAAATGTGATTTTCAAGAATTCTCGCCTTGACCTTGCGGTCAGACGTTAAAGAATATTCCAACATACACGTACGTAAGAACATTCACTACGAACACACATGCGAACGTTCACACACACACACACACACACACACACACACACACACACACACACACACACACACACACACACACACAATGTTAACTGTCTGTGCTTTGCAACTGTTTTGTTTGATATGTATATATTTGTTTTTATATATATCAGTCTTTATTTGTCTTCCTTATTTTCAGTTGGACTTAATCCAAGTCCAACACCCTATTGTAGCTTGACCTTCATTTAGCAGGAAATATAAACACACGTGTTGTCTTTACATCTACACCTCCGTTTGCTACAGGTTTTTATGGAATATGAAAACAGAAAGGACATTTATTTTGAATCAGAAAGAGACAGTTGAAAATTCTTGGACACATTATGGAGAAAGAAATATAAAATTTAAAGCACACAGTATGTACTGAAGGCAAGCGAGTAAATGATTACATGTAAATGATAGAAAAGGGATTAGAAGTGACAATAAAAGACAAATCTTACTACAAAGGGCAGGAATTGTGGAAATTGTCCATTTCCAGAACGTGAACGAGACAAAAAACAATGAGAAGAGGAAGAATAAGAATGAGGTGGAGGGGGAATCGAATAAAAAAAAAGAAAGGAAAGGAAGAATAAGCTGCATATGTTTTACATTTTGATGGGTGATTTTACTATTTATTAACAGAGCGTATATATATATATATATATATATATATATATATATATATATATATATATATATAAAAGGAATAAATATAAATAATGCAAGTTTTCATATATATATATATATATATATATGTGTGTGTGTGTGTGTGTGTGTGTGTGTGTGTGTGTGTGTGTGTGTGTGTGTGTGTGTGTGTGTGTGTGACACTATTTAGGTTGCTAAAAAGAAAGAAGAAAAAAAGAAAGGCGAGAATTAAATTTAGGTGATGAGAAGCCATCATGAAAAGGACACTAAGCGATGTTATTCTTTTTAACAAAGAAAAATGCTAAAGCTTTTATTCTCATTAGCGAAGAAAGTAAGGTCGCGGATGTGTCGGATTTAATTTAATTTATGACGACGCACCGAATAAGATATATCCAATCTGCCCATGGCAATGGTAAAAATTTCAAGTTGGACAAGCGACCCCCGCAGAGTTCTGGGAGATAAAAATTAATTAGGTCAAGCTTGACCGAAACCAAAATGTCCGTTGAACCACCTCCATATCATTTGGGAAAAACACCTGTTTATTGTCAGCAAAATTATTTTATCAGAACGAATAATTGGCACCAAGGTGCGATACGTCCAATTGACCACTCACTTCTTTGGCGAAGGTCCCGAGTGACGAATTCCATATGAAATTCGGTTAAGATAAGAGTCTAAGGACTTGTTGTCTGGCAGAAGAAACGAAAGAAAGGAAGAAAAAAAAAAGGAAGATTTTTTTTTTCTTTGAGCAAGATTTTTTTAAACCGAGGCCAGTCTGGCCACACCCACACTGCTGGGCGACCATTGACTGAATGCTTGCGTGAGCGGCTGGCGAAGGTATTCATGTGAAGAAGGAGGGGAGGCCTGTTGACACCCCCCCTGAAGGGATCGGTATGAGATGCCACTGTGAGAAAGAGGGGAAACCCGTTGACACCCTCTGAGGGTATGGCGAGATAACAATATGAGAACAGAAGTAGGTGGGAGGACGAAAGACTTCCAAAAATGGAAAATAATAAATTTTCCTGACCGAAAACAAAGAAGTGGATTGTGGATTTAGAATTACCAAGGAACCTCAAACCCCGACAAGCCAACCCCGGTTTTGGTCAGCGTCCATATAAGCAGAGTCGCAGTTCCAGTTGAGTTGGCAGTTCGAGTTAAGTTCTCAGTTCGCAGCTGAGTTGGATTGACTTGAACCCGCCTCGCAGGAACCTGGCTGAAAGATTCCACGCAAATCACGACCTCAACTTCTAACCAAGAACAATTTATTTTTGAAGAACGACTTAGACTCACAACACCAAAACAAGTTTTACGAATATCGCCTGAAGATACACCAAGAACCAGTTTCTTAAAGAACAAACAACTTAAGATGTTAAGACTCGCCTAACAAACATAAAGTGTCACGAATCCATATAGCTGTTTGGGAGAAAGATTCAGTCCTGTATTTCGCAACCAGATATAAAATATTGTTATCCTTTTTAACACATTTGAACTTTTCGAATTATTATTTTCTTTTCTTTTACATATACTTGTGCGGTATTACCCTTGTTCGGACCCGACTTGTATTACGGCCCGGCGATTGATTGATTTCGTCTACCTAAGATCAAATCATAACGTGGGTAGGTTAGACTAGAAATCAAAGCAGTTACTTCGGTAACCAGACGTTGGAGGCGAGCTGGGAACGACAAGGCTGATACCGAATCAAACCAGATTCCCATTCGAATCAGCAAAAGGTTAGAACGTCATATATATATATATATATATATATATATATATATATATATATGAAATAGAAAATTATAAACAAAAATAGTAAAATGTGAAAGAAAGCTTAAAATTTAAGATAAAATGAGGGAACGATGCCAAATTTAGAATCGCTTAAATGCATTCCGATATCAGCACAGTGATATCAAAATCCGAGTTCCATGTTGTAACACAAACGGACGCATGAAATATCGAAGTAATACCTATAATCCGACTTAAATACTTCAGCGGCGACATGCATCATAATTTGGAGTTGGAGAAGTGTGTAATTTGTGGTTAAATGAAAAATTACTATTTCTACAGAGAAACCATTGCCACCTTTGGATTATTTAGTTTGATATTATTAACGTAAATGAGAAACTCGGCAGTTGATTGGTGAAACCTCCTGATGAGTGAGCAGAACGACTATAAGAACATTCATATGGACCTCTGTAGTTGGGCTGCTGAATATAACATCATTCAGCTAAGGGACAAATTTTATATTACTATTATATATATATATATATATATATATATATATATATATATATATATATATATATATATATATATATATATACAGAGAGAGAGTGCGTGTATCTGTTTGTGTGTAAGTGTTATTTTAGTTGGGTTTGTGCGATTTATTGGATATCCCAGTTATATCATCGAAACGGTAGTCTTACGAAAGAAATGGTAATTTTAAAAACAAACCTGCCATCACATACTATCCGGAGCAATTTATAAACAGTCGAACCTTCCCATTCCGACCACAGAGCTCCTTACACAAATTACTTTCTATGAAACATACATACATACATATATATATATATATATATATATATATATATATATATATATATATTTTTATGTATGTGTGTGTGTGTGTGTGTCTGTGTCTGTGCGTGTGTGTCTGAAAGGATATAGAAATAGAGTAAACGTTTATAAATCTAATAAGTTTCGCTTTGTTATACATTCATCCTATCCCATTAGTTATTCTGTCATTCTATCGGATTCTTATCCATCCTTTATGTATATTTTATCCCAATTCGCACATACACACACATACACATACACACACACACGCGCGCGCGCACGCACGCATGTGTGTTGTGTGTAAACGGAGACCAAGACCAACTATTGACAGTGTGTTTTATGCTTGAATGTAATATTCAGATCTGATGATTGCGGTCATGTGTTGATATTTATAAAGGCGTTGGTTAGATCCAATGACAGGACACAAAGATTGTCAGTTCAATACCTGTTTAAGGCGGTGTAGAACTTGGAGAGGGAAATTAACAGGCGATAACTGATAAATGACATCCATTAGACATGTGACGTGGAACTAGAAGAGTCCACCCCAGTGAGCCAAATAAAAGATTTAGTTCAACATTCCATCCACCTGAAGAAGGCCGGGCCGTAGAACGGCAATAAAACGTTATATATATATATATATATATATATATATATATATATATATATATATATATATATATATCAATTCAGTCGGGTTTTGATCCTAGCTAGAGGCAACCGGATGTCTAGCCACACCGACGAGCTGCGAAACAGTCTGTCTGTGGATGGCGTTATATATATATATATATATATATATGCGTGCTAAATATCAGGCAATTTATCAATATTCCGCTACAAATCGCGAAATAGTAATTAAG